TATTGTTAGAAGTAAATAAAACTAGGCTTCCCTAGGCGTGAGTAATTGTCAGCTCGTCATGTGGTGTGTATGGGTCGTCGACTGTCGTATGGGTTCGAATCCGTCGCCGACTGTCGAACGGCGACAATCGCCCATTCGAGGCCCCGTCTGACCGTACTTTCCGTCCGCCGCAGGAGGGCTCTCCCTCTCTGGAGACGCTGGAGGAGCAGCGGCGCGCACTGCTCGACTCACTGGAGACGCCGGCCGCCGACGGAGAGGAGGGAGAGCTGGAGGACGACGAGGAGGAGGTGGAGGAGATGGAGGAGCAGGAGCAGGTGTCTGAGCTGGTGCACGCGCCGCCGGCCGCCTGCTCGACGCCGCAGGCGCCAGTACTGACTCCAGGCGCGTCCCGGCGCCGCGAGCTCGGCACCCCGGTGGCCGCCGCCAGCCCGCACATCGTCTACGACGCCGAGAAATGGTCGGCCGGCATCACCGAACATATTCCGTATGAGAACCTGCCGGGCGCCACCGGCGCCTGGGACCGCATGAGCTCCCTGATGAAGAAGGTGCGCGACCATCTGACCGGTAAGAAGTAGGGGGCTCGGTGGGTGGCGGTCAACGGCGGGAACGATACCTGACACGGAGATGGTCGGGACGGTGCCAGTCTGCAGCGCCACCGCCGCGGGGGTTACAGACGAGTCGGCAAAAAGAGCGACTGAGGGGACCGCAGTGACCTGCGGTCGAGGTCACACAGTTCGGAGATCGGATGCTTTCCGAGCAGACCTCGGTCCCGAGAGCTGTAACCATGACCGGATCAGAAGTGATGGTAACTTACCGGCGAGCAGCAGGACGTGCGGAGCGAAATGCATAGCTTCAGGTGCCACTGAAAGTTCAACATATTTTAGTACCTAAACTACAGTACATTTAGTGTGGCTTAGGTGTGCAGTAGGCAGTTTTGCGATTTTATACTGGAGCGTTGCAGGAAACTCATTAAATGAGCCGAGGAGATGGTGCGATAATAGTTTGAGTGCGGTAGCGTGAATGTGCTATGATTGAAGTGCTCGGTAGACTCCGGCCTAGCCGACACTGGTCGGCGACTGTGTTACAAAACCTCTCGCCGTCAGTATGGTCAGGCTAAATGAATTAGATGGATGATGTTTGTTGTTTGAGTGTTAATGTCCATCGCCTCACCGACTGCCGCTCACGCAAAGTTCAGAAATTTGCCATTGCCATTTCCACTTTCATTGCAGCCGAGGTTAATAAAATATCGCTGAGCCCACCACCCCTGTTTGTACGAAGGTTGATTGTCAGTTCATAGTCAGGCAGCATGCTTTCCTCTGCATCCAACGAAACAAACTAGCTAGCATTGCCGGTGAGGTGATCGAAAGGAACCCAGGGCGGGAACCACGTGCTTCCATCGCCGTACAAATCAAATAGAACATCGAGCCTCGATCACTTACCAAGCACAATTGTGTTTTGTTATGTAACCGTGGTCAGCGTGGTCCCAGCAGCTGTCTAATTTCGTATGCCGTCGGTACCACGGGTTGTGAACCGGTCGGACGCGCGTGTGGAGCCGTCTCGTGTGCTGATCGGCCCGAGTCAGATCGGCTGATACAGGTGTCACGGGGTGGCGCAGGTGCTCTACCCCCGGCCGGCCCCGCTCCGTACAGCTGGGAGCGAGCGAAGGGTGCACATCGAGAGGCAGACTGACGGCTGGGATAGCCGATAGGGTTAGTTAGTACGTTAATTTGGTTTTACAGGTAACAGACGGGTCATTCACGCATGATATTGTAGGGTCAGAAGTGTCGCAGAGGTGGAATAGGTTATTTTGGATGGGCCGGCTGAGTCGCCCTCAACGAATTTGCGGACATAAAACTCAATGGATGTGGTTTGTACTGGCATTTTGTCAACCCTTTGCACGTCCCATCTGCCCTGCGAATGGAGCATGAAATAATTGACCAGGAACTGTGCGGCAACTCAAGGTCTTGTGCGCGCCCAGGCGTCTAGACACGACCCACTTGTTATCGCTCCGTTTCCGCTACTATTTTCCATGCTCGTGCGAGCTAAGAGGTCTCGTTCACGTTATGTAGGTTCTCCATCACTTCCTTTCATGCCTGCCAAGTATACTGTATAGTGTAAATGTCGCCTCGATAAGCCGAAAATCGCTGATGTCGCCTCGATAAGCCGAAAATGAGATCGGAACTCAGCGCTTATAATGAATACCAGAGATGACTTTGGTAATTACTAATTAGTGTCAGCGAGCCCAGGGCAGCGTTTGGCAGTGTTGATCCCCGGTGATAAACAGACGCCTGGCAATCCCGCAGAGCGCCGCCGGGGCGCCTCGTTACGTGAATCCTGGCCGTGTAAGCGGACCAATGCGTCCATACGTAAAGCTTATAGTGCATACGTTTGGCACGATGGCTGATGGTATGCGTCAAATATTGCTCAGCTGTTTCCTCCATGTGTACCTAAATGGATTTATTTTCATGTGCCTGATGCAGAATCAGTACAGAAACCGCTTATAATGAACCCACACCCAAACCAGTCTAATGTTAATTTGAAAGTCGGCCTGTTATCTTCCCGATTGTCAAAGTATTATTGATGTTCACCATTAGAAATCCTGGCCAGTTGATAAACAAATACTCTGGCGTGGGGCCGAGGGAACGGTATTGTCTGCCGCTCCGAGCAGCTGTGAAGTGTGAGCTGACGTGGCGTTCTGCGCTGACAGGCCAGACCTTGGTGGGGAGTTTAGTGCAGACGCTGCCGACAGCCTGCATTCGTCAGCCGCCGATTGCTGATAACCGCCGAATTGGGGAGGGTAAGGGGGGGGGGGCAGTACCTCCGCGCCACTGTGAGCCGACTGACACGGGGCGACCCGCGGCCCTCCACAGACCGGACTGAGTTGTGACCTGGCCCTCAGGCGTGCCACCGGTAACCGTGTCAGTCATGTCACCGTGTCGGGTCGGACCGGCCGGCCGGGACCGACCCGTCACGCCGCCACCACCGCTGCCGTCCGGCCGGCCGGGCGGGACACTTTCCAGACTCTCACTGAAGGAGGCCGGCGCTTAGTAGGCATTGTGTCGGGTCGTCGGGTGCTATTGTGCACTGAGGCAGCCTTTCCTGTTGCATACACGGCGGAACGGCAGATCCTGGAGTGGTCCGCGCAGAGCAAACGGCGATTCGACGGAGTTTGCCCAGGGCCGTCCCGCTTCTCAATGTCCGAACGGAGGGAGTGCTATGGAACTAAATCATAGAAGTAGAATCTCTTGCCAGTGCCCGTACATTCGTAAGCTCAAGAACAGTTTTATCATCACTTCTGCATTATTGGCCAGTACGGTCTTGTTTAATCCCTGTGCGCCATGTATGAGCTAGTCAACCGCCCTTGATGAGCGTTAGTCACAGCAGCTGGCATTTGCCGGCACTGCACTGGTGGACTGGCCTGTAGCCCACTGTTTGGTCCTGTGACATTTGACGTGGCCGGGGATCCCAGTCGGGCCGGCACAACTGCAGCACAGTCGTGCACTGTCAAAACATGCTGTGTCACAACATTCATGTAAAACATCGGCACAAAATCAGACGAACTTAACGTTCTATGATTTTTAAACGTTCATAAATACGATGTAAAATACCCACAGTCGACACATTGTTTTCAAATTGTGTGCCATATGCCGAAAACCTCAAGCTTTCACCTCTGGGTGTCGAAGGAAAATGAATTACACAGCCAACGAAGCGAGCGGATCGGGGAGGAAATATCGCATTCAGCATTGGTAAACGAGGAAACAACGCAGCCAGTAAACCGGTAACTTGCGATGTTTGAAGACGTTCAGAAATGCGAGGGATAGCTGCAGCGAGTTCCGCCCCGCTATCGCCGCTGTTCAGCGCAGTCACGGAGCGGATACTCGGTCCTAGGACTGGCTCAGTCGGAGAGGATGTGGGGTGAGCTGTCCGGCTACGGCGGCGAACCGGTCCGATGCGCTCAGTTCCGTCCGTCCTAACCGGTACCACCTGACCCGCAGTGGTGAGCGTGGACCGCCCGCTCTGCGGAGGGCAGTCGTCACGACGGCGCCGAGAAGGACGGCTGGGACGCTACACCGGGCCGCAATACAGATAGTGAGCACTGAGCGGATTTCGCGGATTGATTGTTGACGAGATAGTGTTGCTTGAGTGTCACCGATAGAAAATCGTTGGCTTACTTGGGTCTCGTCACTCGTGCACATATTTTGTTACCCCCCCCCCCCCCTCCCCAACCCGACCAAGCTGCCTCCACCGGCCACCTGACAGGAAGGTAACATATGACATTACCCCGTTCCCCTCCCTTGCGATGAGCCTCTGCACCGCCGCTGCCGGCCCTGCTGCGCGGAATGCCTTTGTCGGCTCGCCAGCAGCTCGGACGGGGCACGGCGGCAGCCCTCCACGTCAGCGCAGCGCTGCGCGCCGACCAACCGGTGCCGAGCGTGCCCCTCCCCTCCCCCTCAGGTCACACCCTCCGGCCGTTCCGGGACAGAGCCGTACACACCGTCTGGCAGCCGCGCCCGGCCTATTCCGACGATAACGCCACAACAAAGACAGCACGTGCTTCTCCGGGGATCCCAGCTGCGTATAACATGTCACGGAAGCCGGGATTATTGGCGACGTGATGTCCTGGCAGCAGTCCCAACAGCTTCTGTGATCCCGAGACCTGTGCGGAGCAAAGTGCTCAAATGTCTGGCGCAAAGTAAGCCAAGAACGGCGTAGGGTGTAGGCGATGTGTCCCAGAAATACATTGATAGTTATTGGGTACTAAATCGAGCAAGCTGGCGTAATGCATGAGAATTAATTGCAGGCAATGTCTTCCTCTTCCCGATGGTTGATTTTTTTCTCCGGTTACCGGTAACCCTTCGACTACCCAATGGAGAAGTTGACTAATGAGTGACAGTGACTGGTTTGTAAAACACATGTCATTCTGTCCCCTGAATTACGTAGCTTCATTGGTAGATGCCAATATCTCCCACTTTTGGCCTTGAGTCGGTGGTAAGACTCCATTTTAAGTGTCGGCTGTGTATTGAGCTGTCGACAGACAGATGGTCCGTTCCCGGCGCACCAATCGCGGACAGGCGAACCTCTCAGGCGCCGGCCGCGGTGCCGACTGTAGATGAGGGGCGCCAACGAACAGCGGCATGCATCCCCCAGTGAAGGTCCAGCCACAACCGAGACGGAGACGGCCGCCACTCCAGGCGGCTGCGCACGCAGTCGGTAACAGAAAAAAGGCACGCGAGAATACTCAACACCGGGTGCGGACACGGTGGAACTTCACAAACAGCCGGGAATGTACTGACATTTGAAAAGTTCCGACGACAGTATCTATAAATATTAGATAGTTACGCGCTAACAAATGAACTACCTCGTATGGGATAATATATCTATAGCTAGCTATATTGTCTATTGGTATCAGGCGAACGCACGTGACGAGTGACGACCCAAAAATTTCTGCCCCACAGCAAAACCTCAATCCCGGCCAAAGTGCACACAGAACTTAAAGCAATTTCCAAAATCTACCCGAATGCAACCGATCAAGGGAGCATGGCTATAAATATGTCAATCTTGACCCCATGTGCAGCTATGTGATGACGTCAGTATGCTCGTCCTCAGGTGCCACGGGCGGTGACGTCACTCGCAGCGCGGGTCAGTACCAGTGACGTCACTCGGGCCGGCGTCAGTGACGTCCGCGGATATGGAGGCGCTTTCCGGGCGTACTGAGAGCGTTCGGCGGTGTATCTGTCCACAGCGGGATGAGAGGCCGAGGGGGAGCGGCGCCGGCGACTGTCAGCGACCGCTGCCGTCACTGCCGCCGGCCCGGCTGACCCCACTGACCTACCGCGGGCGGCTGCTGACGGCCGGCGGCGGGCGGTGGCCGCCGCTCGCTCGGCACCTGAGCCGCGGTAAAACCTTCAGTGTCCAATAGACCGTGTACAAGCCGTGAGACGGGGCGGCCGGCAGCGACGGCCAGGCCGCGCCGCCGGCAGAGTCGGGCGGATATCACAGCAGAGCGGGCTGGTCGGAGGCCGGGCTGGTCCGAGGTCGGCCGCTAGTTGGCCGTCGGCGGCGGGTTGTTGCCCGGCCCGCCCTGGTCCTGACGAACGCATACACAGACACCGGTCAGGAACACAGAAGTCAATCGCAGGAACACAACAAAAAGCGGTCGAATTTTCAAGCAATGCGCGTACAAAACGTAGCAGCTTTCACGAAGGCCGACTTTAACCAGTCTCGTGATGGACTGGTTAAAGTCCCCTCTAAAACACTTGTGCTCCCCGAACTCGCGACTTATCGGGGAGCACAACACTCATGTAGGGACACTGGAACCGTACCACGCGTGAACCCACCAGTCGTGCCGGCTTCGTGTCGCCGCGGTTGCGGAGCGAGCTGGGTCTGAAGAGGTAGAGCAGCACGCCGAGCACCACCCACACCATGGCCATCAGGAACAGGTCGTTACCGCCGCCGGAGGCGTCCGCCTGCGGGCCCGGCACTGCCGGCACACGCGGGCGTGACTGGAGACGGCGGGGCGAGCACAACAGCCGCTGACGCGTCAACACACTGTCCACCAGCTGCGTGCGGTAAACGCGCTAAACCGGTGTTTGTTTACAGGCATCCTGAGCCAACTCACACCTCCTTGGTACTCAACGCATTTGCGTTATTGAAAAGTTCATTATTTAGAATGTATATGTTATGTAGTATTAAGGTTTCAGATTCAGAATTGGACACAGAGCCAAATAAATCGTCCTTACATGACAGCAGGCATACAATCAATGAAAAAATTGTTGCTGAAAATGCAGATAACTACTCGGAGAAATAAAACCACTTACGTTCTCCAAAACATTCACTGTCTGTGCAGAATCCCTGCATTCCACGAAGCTGAAAACGAGTACCAAACATTAAAGGTGCATCATGTCTTCCTGTAGTAGCCAGGAATTCATACAACATTGGCATCTTTTAAGGCTTATTAATAGAAAGCAGAACATCAAATCATATAAAATGCCAGGGACATTTTGCATGACCACACATAATAAGCAAACAATAAATGGTATTGGTGAGTTCCAACTACTCAACAAAGAAGCATAAAAAGTGAATGACAACTGACCAGTGAGATCAGTCTCCTCATTGCCATTCCATGGTCCCAGATGCACGCACATGGGTCATATCCGTCAGCCATCTGAAACAACACCTTTACCACATGAGACATCCAGCACCTTACCACAATCTGCTGCAAATTTGACACAATTATCATGCATTATTGCACTGTTAAGTGGACCCATTTTAAAATCAAAATTACTATTCAGACAAGATAAATGAGAATAAGGTACATACTTCTTTTGAGACAATTCTTAGCAATCAGCTTTACTACATAAGCCTTACCCTTTTTAGTTACCAATAGTAGACAATACCTAGAAATAAATAACATTAAATTTCCTTGTACTTACATTTGTTTTCTGGTTGACTCAAAGATTGTTATGATTTTCAGAGAAAACAAGTAATTTAAAGGTTGCCAAATGAAGATGAGTCTGAAAAAAATGCATTGCTATTGTCAAAATACTTGTGAAAACAAATTGTGTCAAGCCTGAGGAGACATGCCTAGCAGTTACCATCAGGGACAGCCTGAGACAAAGCAAGTAGATAGGTATTCAAAGAAATGACTCATAGATGTTTTATCACACTGCATTACTGTATAAGCTTGTAGAAAAATTATGGTACCGTTGTTTGGTCTAACTTTGGGCCGTGTGGGTAACTTTGTTCCACGAGGAAAAAAATGTCTAAATTTTAATCAGCTTAATACCTATGCGCGAGAAATGGCATTTTTGGGCCGGAACCAATGAAGTAGTCAATGATAAACCCAGGGACACAAAAAATACGTCATCATGTCGATTTTGGATTTTCTAGATTTTTTTGGTGAAGCTCCTTTTTTCACCCAATATTAAGGTTTAGGTAGGTCCCTGTACAGGGCTCAGATGCTACCAGCCGAATCGATTTTTGCAATTTGCCTGAATAGGACATCATGTGAACTTTGCATTCGACTATTGGTAATTTATTTTCCTCAAACATTTTTTTAAAATTTGGGGGTGGTCAATGTTTATACATATTTTTTGCCGTTAATTCAATAACTTTGGGCCACCCGCAGGAAGGGTAAATCCAGGGGTGATTTAAAGTTCCGACACCATATGATGAAGAGGGTCGTCGTGTCGTTCGTTGTGTTCCGTGCCTTTTATTGTGTGTGGTTCGTCGCGTCGTTGGTTGTGCGTAAATGTCCCAGCGGGATACGTAAGCGACCTACAGGCATGATGGTGTGCATCATCCCATGACTATGTTTGTACAATGTACAAGTTTCCCAGCCAGCAATTCGCTTGGGCTTAACTATGGTAAACCTCGGGCAGCTTGGGCTTAGCTTGGGTTTGCCCACTTCGATCAAAACCAATGCATTTTTTACTTGGGCTGAACTTGGGTATGCCGCAGCTATGCCCGAGTGTGGCCAGCTGCAGCTCAGCCCGACATCCGCCCGCGCATCCAAAGCAGGCTCAACTTGGGCGGAGCGCGGGCTGATCAAGCTGGCTGTCTCCTTTGGCTAACTGGAGTAAAGCCGGAGTTTAGCCATACTTGATCGGCTGTTCACGCATGCGCATTTCTGCGCCAGTCACGTTTTGCTCGGGCTTACATCGGGCTACCGCCAATCGTCGCACAACTAGGGCTAAACTACGGCTGTCCGGAGCTCGCAGAGCGGGCATACCTCCGGCGGAGCATGGACTTTAGTCGGCGTTTTTGTGTCATACGCCGACTTTAGCCCAAGCCCTAGCCGACTTTAGCCCGACTAAAATCTCGGGCAAGCCGCACTTAAGCCTGCTTGGGCCCGGAGTAAAATTGCTGGCTGGGTTGCTGTTCCTTTTTTAAAAGCCCCTAAGTGGACCAATGTATCCATAACGACCGCTAACATTGATATTTTTGGCTTTTCCATTGTTTTATTGATGCATTTATTCATATGGTACAAAGATATTTTTGTGCGGGTAACATTGTGCCACTCTAATTTCAAAAAAAAATATATGTCATTATCCAAAAAAAATTAAGAGTGACTATAGGTGACCAGCAGGGATGTCACTGCCTTACTGCACAATTTCCTGAACATTTAACAAAATAATTTGGAAGTAATACGAAGAAAAGTCAAAAACTGGTACAAAGTTAGGCCAAACAACGGTAGGTGACTTGAATTTCAACGTCAATGTAACATTCTCAGGAATGTTATGAAATTACCACCTGAAACATGAAGCTTGAAATTTAATAACAACATCAGTGATCAGCTGCAGTGGATATGATAAGCCAGTTTTACCAATAGGATAAAGTGGGCTGCTGTTTTTATCTTAGACTCCAACAAGTTTTGCAATAATACAAATTAATACCTGCTGATAAAAGCAAATCAGTTTAGCACGGTGATATCATTTTTCACGTCAGTTGTTCATGTTAAGCTTGGGTGCCAAAATCCTGGATCAAATTCTGGCAATAAATGAAAGCAGCCTGTGATTTTTCCTGATGGTTAGATTGGCCTTAGCTCTTATAATTTTCATAGGTTATATATATATATATATATATATATATATATATATATATATATATATATATATATATATATATATATATATATATATATATATATATATATATATATAGGTAACGGTAGCGCAGGCGTCACCGATAGCTTCGGCGGCGTAAACAGTCAAGGTAGGTGTATTGTAAGTATATTGACAGATATGGTAGCACTGTTAAATTATATGACGTCATTGGAGTATGAAAAAGTCTCTAGAACGTCTCAACTCTCAGGGAGGACAAAATGGGACTCGGCCGGTTCCAGCGGGACATATTGTGACTCAGCCGACTACCGCGGGACATAGTGGGACTCGGCCGGTCCCAGCGGGACACAATGGGATTCGGCCGGTCCCAGCGGGACACAATGGGACTCGGCCGGTCCCAGCAGGACACAATGAGACTCGGCTTGTCACAGCGGGACACAATGGGACTCGACCGGTCCCAGCGGGACATATTGGGACTCAGCCGACTACCGCGGGACATAGTGGGATTCGGCCGGTCCCAGCGGGACACAATGGGATTCGGCCGGTCACAGCGGGACACAATGGGACTCGACTTGTCTCAGTGGGACACAATGGGACTCGGCCGGTCCCAGCAGGACACAATGGGACTCGAATTGTCTCAGCGGGACACAATGGGACTCGGCCGGTCCCAGCGGAACAAAGTGGGACTCAGCCGACTACCGCGGGACATATTGGGACTCGACTTGTCTCAGCGGGACACAATGGGACTCGGCCGGTCCCAGCAGGACACAATGGGACTCACATTGTCTCGGTGGGACACAAGGGACTCGGCCGGTCCCAGCGGAACAAAGTGGGACTCAGCCGACTACCGCGGGACATATTGGGACTCAGCCGACTACCGCGGGACAGTGGGACTCGGCCGGTCCCAGCGGGACACAATGGGATTCGGCCGGTCACAGCTGACAGCGGGACACAGGGACTGGCCGAGTCCCAGTTCGAATCCCACTATATCCCGCTGTAGTCGGCTGAGTCCCACTTTGTCCCGCTGGGACCGGCCGAGTCCCATTTGAGTCCCAAATGTCCCGCTGGGACCGGCCGAGTCCCATTGTGTCCCGCTGGGACCGGCCGAGTCCCACCATGTCACGCGGTAGTCGGCTGAGTCCCAATATGTCCCGCGGTAGTCGGCTGAGTCCCACTTTGTTCCGCTGGGACCGGCCGAGTCCCATTGTGTCCCGCTGAGACAATTCGAGTCCCATTGTGTCCTGCTGGGACCGGCCGAGTCCCATTGTGTCCCGCTGAGACAAGTCGAGTCCCATTGTGTCCTGCTGGGACCGGCCGAGTCCCATTGTGTCCCGCTGTGACCGGCCGAATCCCACTGTGTCCCGCTGGGACCGGCCGAATCCCATTGTGTCCCGCTGGGACCGGCCGAGTCCCACTATGTCCCGCGGTAGTCGGCTGAGTCCCAATATGTCCCGCTGGAACCGGCCGAGTCCCATTTTGTCCTCCCTGACACGTTCTAGAGACTTTTTCATACTCCAATGACGTCATATAATTTAACAGTGCTACCATATCTATGTCAATATACTTACAATGCACCTACCTTGACTGTTTACGCCGCCGAAGCTATCGGTGACGCCTGCGCTACCGTTACCTATATATATATATATATATATATATATATATACATATATATATATATATATATATCAATAAATTGTGTAGGTACTAAAACAGATGGCTAGAACTCTGCGCCGCGTCCATGTCACTGGAAAGAAACATTATGCAAGTGCCAATGAAAAACTGAATATCAAACTTAAATTAGATATCAAATGTAACAGAAATTACACAGAAGAATAACAAATCAGATTGAAGAAAATTCTCTTAAATCAAAATGAGCAATGACCTTGAAATTATGCAAAGGCACGATCCAACACATTCGTAAGTGGTTGCAAGCCGGTAAGTGGTTGCAAATTTTGCAAGCCGAGTTTCCAAATAATTTCGTACGGCTGAGGTCAGTAAGATTTTTCCTACATGCCGCATACCTGCTAGGTTAGTTTCGACAGGTTTTGGATCCAACACATTATTGATATTGACATGATGATGAAAAACTCTGCTGGGCCTAGATAGGCCCCTTGACTTTCATTGGATAAGATGGTCAATCAGGCAAAATAATCGATATAACCCACCAATTCGAATAATCCACAACCCAGTACATCCAGCAAACTAACTTTTATCCATAGACAACAACCCAACGAACCTGAGAGAATCGCACACACAAGGCCCTAAATACAAGGTTGCACGGACTTATTTCTACTAAACCTACCAGAATATAGTTTCACGGTTGATTATTTAAATAATTATTCAATCAAAATTTCTTTATTATTATCTCGTAATCATTTATAAGCAATTTTATAAATCAACTTTCAATTTGCTTGCCTTTTACTAGCAAAATAACTTTTCTAGTATTGGGTCAACATAGTGGTGTAGCAGTAGGAACCACATCTGGCAAAACCCCAATGCCTACATACAGCAGAAAAGCAGGCACCAGGTGTCGCCACAGTCGCCACACAGATGTCGCGCGCGTCGCCAATCGCCACACTACCGATTTCCATAAGGACGCATATGTACGGATATGTATAGGAAAGTCGCCCTTAAGGATTACGCTTACATCCTTTGCTTATGAGGTCGGTGGTTGGAAATTGGGAGGGGCTCAGCTATTTTCGACCACGGATATGCCTTTATCACATGATGAGGAACATGCTGATAAGCGTTTTATGCGTCATAACAGCACAAAAGTATTTTTAATCATTTTTCAAAAATAGCCGTTCTGCCGTATCTTTCAGTGCAAGGTGCCGTCGGTCATCCCCGACGTGACGTCACGCAGGGAATTTGCCAGATTTTCCTACTAGACTTCGACACCCCCTGCGCACACAGATGTTTGTTGTTTACAAACTTTCGATGCTACACGTCTCACTGCCAAGATCCCGTATGTTGTCAAAATAACGTACATTTAGCAATTTTTAAATGATTCTACACAAATTTTATTGTTGATAATTGAATTTATATTTTTATTTATTTCAATTTAATGATTGACTATAATAACGATCATCTTACTGACAAAATGCCACTAAAAGAGTATTGACGTCATCAAAATTGTGTGATTTATGTCGACGCCCATGGCTCCTAAAAATATGACCACTAAATGAATATTTGCTAAGCTTCATGGTCTATTCGGGTGATAAATGACAGATATTGCTCGTAAGGCCCACCATTAGCAGCTGGTTTTTAATAAATCTTGCTTTTTTTTCCTTCCAATAGCTAAAAAGGGGCACTCAGCACTGAGACGGCTCGAGCAAGGACAGCCCTCATCACTTGGATACATTACGCATGCGATCCGTTTTTCCCTGCATATTTCAGCTGATTGAGAGTGAACCTATCTTTAAGACAAAAAATTGTCGAATAATCTCTACCTACATGCAAATATTCCTGAATGCCTGTTTCCTCGCATTTCCGTATGTTTCCGCATTTGTTGTGTTAGTGTTCGCCCATTGTCTACATAATTCAATTGAAGCAGTAGGTGGCGCTGTTTTACTAGTCCCCTTTGATGTGGTGGCGGGCTGATCGGTTCGCCCAAGGGTTCGCCCACGTCCTTTTACAGCGTCTCTCTAATGTGTCGGGGGGGGGGGGGGGGGTGTACTCCGTAGGTACCCTGACCGTCCCTGACCGGCCCCTGATCGAGCTAGGGCTTTGCGGGAAATACGAGCGTGCTACCCGTGATGAGCATGAGACGAGAGGGATATAGGCGGTGGAACGAGAGGGGGGGGGGGGCACCCACCGGGACACAGTGCCCCCCTTTGATTTTGGCATTTTAACCCTCGCCCGCACATGGGGGGGGGGGGTGGTTGCCACCCCCCCAGGCAGTCTTTCTGCTCTGCACTCAACATTTTTAGAGCTAGAAGGCTGATTTTTCGTATAGCTGCTCGTCTATCCTTTCTTGATGTCTACTGAAAATTTCAAGTTTCTGTGATTTTTGGTTTCGGAGATATAACCTTGTTTTTCAGGTCATGTCATGACCCAAATGGCCAATTCTCAACATTTTGCGTTTGCCATGGGCCTTGTGAGCTTTTGACACCCTGATTTCGGCCTTTTTTGCCAGTCTTACCTCCCACCTATCATGGAACATGTTGTTCGACGATGTACAGGGGTCAAGGTCAGGGTCAAGGTCAACCTAGGTCATCTAAGATAATTGCGTTTTAGGCAAGCGGAATTTACTTTTTGTGAAGTTTTATTTACTGCATTTTTGGTAAAAGCTTATCAGATCATGATTTCATGTGATATGGACCCAAAAACAATCGGTGCACACATCAGTATACACACAGACACACACAGACATACAAACACATATAACTGACCTTGACCTAACTTGACCTGAAATGACCTCAGCAGCAAAATTTTGGTCGGATAGTGTGACAAAGAGGTTCTAGCTGGCTTGGCACCAGAAAACAGCATCGTCATCGGTATTTGATAAGCAGCGCACTTGATATCCAACGGTGACCCAAAACAGCAACATTTTTTAGTTTGACCTGACCTGGAAGGTCAATGACTGACCTGAGAAGGTAAAACTGGGTCTCATTGGATTCGTCTCTTCCCAAAGAATCTTTTTGGTCTTTACTGCTAAGCTCTATCTCCAACAGGAACGAAATGGCGCGGGGGGTGGCAACCACCCCCCCCCCCCCCCACATGTGCGTTCTAGGATGGGAAAATGGCATGTGCGGGCGAGGGTTAACATTAGTCCTATGGGCGTTGCATGGAAAGAATGGGACCAAAAGTCGGCAGTCCCCCCCCCCGGCCCCCTTAATTGAAGGTGTTCCGCCGCCACTGAAGAGGGAGAAATTTAACCCTCGCATGTGTAGGGGGGGGTCGGATGGACCCCCCCCCCATGGTTTTTCGCAAATAACTCGCGTAAAAAGCGGCCGATCGCGACGAAACTTTCAGTACCCTCGCATTGATCAATTTGACACCTACCCTGAAAATTTCATGACCCTGACCTAAATGACCTTTGACCTGTGACCTCTTTTCCGAGACCATGTTTGGCCGGAATCGCGATTTCGCGTATGTCGGCTCGCACTAGCCGCGTGTTTGCAAGCTTTTCGTGGTTTCAAACGTTCAAACATGTGATTTGATGTTACTCCCGTGTGTGTCAAGGTCACCTGAAGGTCAGGTCAGGTCATTGACCTTTGGTGACCTCGGGTGACCTCGGGTCACTTTTTCGAGTTTTACATGTTTCTAGGCTAGTTTTTGGAGCTGAATTCGAATTTAGCAACCATTTGAACATTTACGAAGTAGTTTTGGTGACTTCGTAACATGTTACGAAGCTGTCAGAGGCGGTTGGCACGTACTACGAATTCCCGTCACGACGCCTATTGGTTGACCTGACCTGACCTGACCCGACCTGGTCTAAATGCTTCAAGACATCATCTGTGATCAAAACTAACACGATATTCGTGATCAGCACCCCGAAAAACCCCTAAGCAGCCACACTTTACGACTTTCTAACAGGTCCCGATTTTCCCGACTTTGGGTCATTGACCTGACCTGGAAGGTCAACCAATGACCTAGGACCTTAAAATTGGGTATCATCGGCTTCCTCTCGTCACGGGCAACACGCTCGTTTTTTCCGCGAAGCTCTAGCTCGATCAGGGGCCAAACGGCAAGGGGGGGGGGTCCAACCGACCCCCCCCCCCCTACACATTAGAAGCTGGCAAACGCCGCACACATGCGAGGGTTAAACATACTCAATTTTTAGGTCCTAGGTCATGGAGTGACCTTTAAGGTCAGGCTAATGGCCCAAAATTCGGGAACACCGGGACCTGCTAAAAATTTTGTTAAGCGACTTTGTTACGTTTTCAGAAGCCTCAAGCCTGATTGCAAAGTCCGTGTTATTTTTTTTAGCAAAGACGACGCATTCACGCATTCCAGATAGGTCGGGTCAGGTCAGATCAGGTCAACCATTGCGTTCTGCTGGCTATCCATAATACCTAGGTCATAGGTGTCAACCACCACTGAAAGCTTCGTACCATGTTACGTTACGCAAGCACCAAAACTATTTCCTAAATATTCGAATGTGTCAATGTGCATGATTAATTCGAAATCAGCTCCAGCTCCAAAGGCTACCCCAGAAGCATGTAAAACTCGAAAAGTGCACCAAGGTCAATCTTAAGGTCAATGACCTTCAGCGAACCTTACAAGTTACACCCCCATCTACATTGGAAAATATCATTTCACATGTTTGAGCGACGTCTAAAACCACAAAAAGATCGCAACACTGAAAGTTTCGTCGTGATCGGTCCCTTATTGCACGAGTTACTGCGAAAACCGAGGGTCAGTCCGTTCGACCCCTCTCCCCTCCATAAATGTCAGTATAATTATCCTGGAGGAACGAGGCAGCAATGTAACGGCAGCTGCCTGCTGCTTGGTACAGTACAATTAAATGTACCTACTAGTATATGGTATAGACTATAGGTAAAGAATCTGCTCCCCGTTCCTTAAAATTATTACGGCGTTCCGGAAGTGAAGAAATGATGGAACTTACCGCTATCATCGCCAATACCTATACTGACAGACAATTCACTTTCTCGTAACGATTCATATTGGCCGACTGTAATTCAGCGGATCTTTTCTGGATCAGGGCACCAGGCACCTATCAATCCAGGTCTCTGTCGGAGACTCGGACCGAAAAATTATTGGATCGGACCCGGTCAAGTCAAACACCTATATTTTGACCGTAAAATGGGTGCCTATAGCCCTTCTAATAAAATAAAGCCCTTCTACCCGATTCATGGCATACATAGCGTCTTACCAAACGGGCTATCTGCGTCTATCTACGAGCATAACTACCTACCTAAATGCCCTTTTGCTGATTAACCCTCGCCGGACCTAACTATTGGTTTTCTACATACGCGCCGGCCGAGGGGGGGGGGCGGGTACGACCCCCCTCGCCGTTTCGCCCCTGGTGGAGCTAGCGCGTCGCGGAAAAAAACAAGCGTGTGCGCCGTTACGAGACGCAGAGATTGGTACCCGATTTTAAGGTCCTAGGTCAACCGGTGACCTCTGAGGTCAGGTCAAGTGCCCCTAGGTATGGTTCAGTTTTTGGTGAATAACATCGCAAAAAATGGCCGCAGAGCGCCGATTTTGGCAGCATCGTGTTCGCCTCGTCCAGGCGCGTCGAATGATATACTTTTTGTCCGGGTCAGG